CGGCTAAACTATACTTCTAAGGTATAAACAATTATATATCATTAGAAAGGTATTTTGATGCTGATGTGCTAAAAGGGGTGTAAAGGAAACATGATTGCCTATTTATATAATGATAAAAAATCAGTTCAATGAAGCACATAAATCAGTCCCGCTCTCATGGAATGAATAATTGCAATTGTAGCACGACCACCATTTTCCGCTAATTTGAATTGAAAAAAACAGGTAAAGACAGTGCTCTCTTCGGGTATGCATAAAAGCATTTTAAAATATTTGTTCGCCAGCGAAATAAAATTTTCGGCTTCACCTCATATATAGATATAGGAGTTATATAAAAACCTTATATCTGAACAGTCAGTGGTATGGGAAACATTCCTTATAAAGCCCCATTTAAATGATTTTTACTACTATGTATGATCGATATGTAAATCGGTCCCAAAATTTATTGATTTTAGCTGCCTACATATAGGAGTCAAATATATCGGAAATAGCTGTACACTGTGTGCAATCAGTGGTATAGGAGATATATCTTATACAGCACCGATCTTGACTGTTTTCTCTGTAGACTTTTTATGATTATTTAGAAAATAACTTTCGAAATTTCCCCATCTTTGTCATTTTCACTGTAAGCTTTCTGTTGATAATGAGGAAAAACGGGGCAGTTATGACAAAAAAAATCTGATTTGAAGATTCACTTATATGGTGGTTCGATTTGGTCGATTACGAAAAATAATTAATACATTACAAAATAGACCCGTTTACTAAATTTCAGACGGATGTCTCGAAAACCGAGGGTCTGAACTGCGTTTAAACAGACACGTTTCAAATTTTAGTATACATCTTTATTTGTCTATCTCTAAAAGCACCTCCGAGATCTCATCCGCTATCTTAAGTTCAATGTGGTTCGAAACTCTGTAATTTCTGTGAGTGAGATGAAGAAGCGCCAGAACATGTCGGTTATAAATCCGTTGCTCTGACCAGTTGCAGTTTAGTTCACCTACCTAGGTGGCGTAGCATTTAATCCACCTTTAAATTGGAATAAAAACGCCTATGGAAGCCTGTGAATATCAAACGCCTTCAGATATAGCATTAATAGCCATGAAAAATATACCAAATTTCTATCACTTTGACTACCTACTCTACGAGAAATTCCTCTTTTCGTACACTTTCTAATACGAAATTAAGTACTTTTCTCTCCTATGCAAATAATTGCATACCGAATTTAAATAAATATTAAAATCATTCGGTCTGCATAGAAATAACAAACTTTTTAAAAATCGCCTTCACTCCACATCCCTTTCCTATTTCTGTCGGCTCCTTTGTTGTTTTCATTTACCCTTTTTGCTATTACTTTTGCTAGTATTTATACATCTCTAGGGCAGATTGTGGCAGCAATAAATAGTCTTCTTGCAACCATTTGCGTGTGCGGCAGTCAAGTGTGTCCAGTATTGTTGATTCGCTTGGCTTTTGTTGTTGTAAATTGTTATTACTTTTGGTAGTCAACTACTTGGCAAATGTTAGTTTAGCAGATGACCTTGCTCCTACTGCCTTCATGGTTTTACAAGCCAATTTAATTAATATTTTATGTATAGGTTAATCTAGGAATTTATGAGTTCAATTTTCCTTTGTTTAATTATTAATGTAAGTAGATAATTTAAGTATAGGTATTTAGCCTAGCTTTAATTACTATTCTTCCAATTAATCTTCTTACGGATTCGTTATAGCTCATTGTGGAAATCAACAGCCAAGTGGCGCTCTTTCGTGATATGCTAATCCATGTTGGCCAGACAAAAGACTGTCCCGAATTGCGGGAGAAAATTCGAAAACTGCGAAGAACCTGCGTGGAGGCATGCAAACACACGGGACAGATAATAATGCCGCAAGTGAAGAGGTGAGTGGAAAAGAAAACAAAACTTAAAACAAAAATGGGAATCAGAACTTTTCCAGCAACAAAGCCAATGCAAAAATAGTTAGCTTAACTTTTATGTGCTTGGTAGTCTATATTTGTAGCATTTTTGACGAACTACAACCATTGTTTGAGTGCATATGCGAAAATTTCCCACATTTAATCTATGAAATTTTTGTACCTGCACTTCTCAACTGCCATGTGATAAAACCTTCTTAAGTTATAACTTGATGCTCAGCCTAGTCTGATGTAGCCTCCGGACAATAGCTCCGTAACTTTTTGCGGACTATTTATGGCTTACAATCATACAGGGTTTTTAAATGAACTTTACCATCAGGGCTGCTAACTATACTTAGCTATGAAGTGCCATATTGAGGATAATCCTTGAAAAGTAAAATAGGCCCAAAAAAGATTGGGCCAAGTTGGCAGCCCTGTTTACCATTGGCCACAGAGCCTACCCACCTTTTTATTCGAAAAAAATATTTTTTTTATATAAATACATACGTGCATGTAAACATACTGGTCTCCCGCCTCACTGAGTTAGTCAACCGTATCTGAGGTTTTCCGCAGCTTCAATTCCTACGTCAGGATTTTTTAAAGGAGCTTGAAACTTCAAGTATATGATGTTTTCAAACAATTATTAAAAAAAATCAGAGCGATTTAAGGACATCTATTAAGAGAAAATTTTGTAGAATTGAAAAACGCAAAAGTTTTTGATGTAGATAGTTTGATTATATGTGTCTAAAAATATCAACAATTACAAATTTTTAAGCTCTCGAAAAATCGAAAAAGAAAAATTGTCAATTAGCCAAAACATATTCTCACCAACTTTTTTATTTGCGACTCCGATTATAGGTGTAATGGATTCGATAACGCATATCAGCTTTGGATTTAAAGTACCGAAAGGTGTGATGTATCGTTGAAAAAATGTTTTTTGGTACTATATGTATTTCTAAGATTCTATCGAACAATTAAATTTATTTTCGAAATTGAATTATTAAATTGATTACGGAGCCTCCTTGTGTGCAGTTCTAGTGCAGGACAGTCAGCTTGTAGAGTTCTAATTTTTAGAAAAAAAAAATTATAAATATTCCAGGTAAATATCTTCGAGCTAAAAATGAATTTACTTCTAATACCGTAAAGTAACTTTCGGAGAATTTATTTGCCATTTGAACTATTTGTACATTTCGAGAGCGAGTCTGCTCGTGCTGCCACTGCTTGCACTCTTGACTCGCATCAAGAATTTTATAGTACTTAAGTTTGATGAAAATAAACGAATACAAATGTACGTAACTCACATAAAGGTGTGAAAACGACTTTGGTGCTAAAAAGGATATATTGAGCTTCTTAAAGCAGGAATAATGACATATCATTAAAAAATAGGATGTTGAATACCAAAGCTATAAAGAATAATATATTGTGGCGGTTCGCAGAAGGATACACATTTTTTTTGGTGCCGAAATCCTCTAAACTTAAGCTTCAAATACAAAAGTGAACTTTTACAACTTTTTTTTTCGAAAAATTCTATTGTATGAACACAATATGTATTTCACAAAATTTGAATATTTTTCACCCTTACTCGACTATCATATCTCATATCCAATTGCATGTATCTACTTATTTCTACTTGGTGTGGCTTCGAAGGCATTCGCGAATTATTAAATCACGATTTAACCAACACCTCGACGTCGCTGTGGTGCCCTGAAATATTGTTAACGTGCGACTCATGAAATAGTATATGCCATTGATTGAATTTAATAATTAATATGCAAAAACCCAATGGGGTGCTCTGACATGCATTCTGAGCTGAATATGCAAAAGCGCTACAAATATACATACGAGCAAACTTGTGCATGCACTCAAAACCAGAGGCATTTGCTGCACGCATGTAAAAATATTAAATGGCAATTAAAGGAATTACGCGGCAGTCGTGTAGTAATTGCTTTTAATCAGAGGTTATTTGAAGAGATTAATGTATATAATAAAGTACTAGCGTAGATGTATCGGTTCATTATAAGTATACAATTTCAAAATCACGCTGCGGAACTATATTTTGTTATGATAATATTTAATGGTAAATATTTTAAAATTTTAAAATCTATACAGTCTCGATTCGAGACGAAGGCGAGTTCCAAGTTGCATGTAACTTTGTATTGATGCGAAATATATACACAATATATACAAACTCGCACAGTTCGTCTAGGCAAACAGGTCAATTGATTTTGAATAGAGTTATTCTCTCAAAACCTTTTCAAGCCTGCTTAAATTTGCTCGGTATCACTTACGTTTATATGCTGTGATTGAAAATTTTGTTGAGTGTAATTTGTTTTTAGTTGAGCTCTGCTTTTAACCATTTATTACTCTCACAGGGTCAAGGCACTTGCGTTCGCATAACAAGGTACCGCGGTTGGTTGCATACTCCCCGTGGTCCCACAAGCTTTCTACAGCATGCGAAAGCTCATTTCTTTTATTACCGATCACACCGAAAGGAATGGAGGACACGTCGCTGCTCTATTTAGTTTTGCACCCCCATGCGAGTAATAAAGTAACTTTTTCTTAATACCGTAAACCTTTGAGCAAGAATGACTTGATCTCCGAACGCTTTTCATATTATCTGGAGGCGCAAAAATAACATATTTTACCTCCTGCAGTTGGAGCGTGTCCTAGTGTCGAAGCCGGCGTTGTCAATGTGATTAGCATTCGACAGCAACTCGCTTTTCAATATTTCGTTGCACATGCCACCTGACAAAGAGTGGCCTTGTCAAAACCCTCGTTTTGCTCGAAGGGGTCCTTTCCAATTTTAACGAAAAAACTTTACATAGCCTTTGCCACTGTCAAAAATAACTTTAAAATATATAAAAAACTTTGTTTGCGTCGATTTGCAAACTAACGGTATTCATATAAAATGTACAATAAATTTAACATCAAAAAAAAAAAAATAAAAAATATTTGCACTACCGCTTTGTCTAAGAAACATCTTTCAAATTTTGTAAGTCATATTTTTTTTTGTGTACAATGAAAAGATAGGAAAGCTTTTTCCATGGAGTTTTTAATTGAATTTCTTTCTCCTAGTTTTTTAACATCTATTTATTTATGATTTCTTGTATATTTACTTCTATGTATTGATTTTCTTTACTCCTCACGACCTTGCGCTGAAAGCAATTTTACTAAAGCACCCTCTTCTCGGAAATAAAAATTGTTCAAAAATCTGTTTTGCCCGCCCACACATCAAGGCAAGTTCATTAATTTCATCGGAATTGATTGAATAAGCGATGGAAGTTTGAGACAAGCGGCAAACATATGTATGTACATTAGGGTGCAAAGAAAATAGTTTAAAATGTTAAGCTCTCACCCCCAGGAATTTTTCTAATGGAATAAGGAAAAGAAATTAAAAAGAAAAAGTATACTTAGAACTGCCTCAAAGCCCACAAAGTTACCCATGTATTTTATATGGGAAAAAACACTTTTCCGATTGAAAAATATCGATTTTCAAAAAGTCTATACGATTTCTACGAAAAGTGTTTTTCATGTGCTTTGAGGCAGTTTTAAATATAATTTTTGCAAACAAAAATATACGGGTGTTCTTTTTGTGGCATTTATAAAAATCCCAGGGGATATGAGCTTAACATTTTAACCTTTTCCTTTACCACCCTAATTTATATACACACATATTTACATACATATGATTGCAATACTCTTCTTCAAGTGCCGTTAATTATAAAACCATCAGTTCATACATATTTACACAAAAAAAAACAAATTTTCATGTTTCTATAGAATTACAAATACACTCAAAACTCAAAGGCCTGTAATCGTAGCATGCTGAAGAAAACACCTTCTTCGATTATTATCTGCAAGTAAATAATTCTGCTCCCTCGAGTGTTTTTGTAATAAAATCTCTGGCACGTTAACAAGACATCCCAGATTTCTGCTTCATACTCGAGTACAACCCACGCATATTTACTGCAAACGACTTTCTCCATACAACTTGCCACTCTCCTCCCTTCTTTCTACACGCTCTTCGCTTTTTATCTTTACTACTCTATCTGACATGACACGTTCAACTTTCGGATATGATTTATCATCGGACAACAACAATGCTGTGCATTGTTCATAAATATTTTGTGTGGATTGTTTTCATACTTGGCATTGTTTGTCAACAGGAAATGAACGATGCTCAAAATTGACACAGCGTGATTTTATTACTTTCACTGATATCTACTGATTTCATTTTCATGCATTTTTCTTGTCAACAATGTGCTTTGTTGTTTTTTTGTATTAAATCGGCGAATATACTACATTTAGCTGTGTACTATGTATGTACATTGTACTAACTTACGAATTCATTATGTATATCATACAATACATATTTATATGCCCACTAGTGCATTTCACTTTAGAAAAATGGCCATTTCGCGTTAATATTAAAAAAATAACAGTGTGTAATAGAGTGTGCAATTTGTAGTCATATAAAGTAGCGAGCTAGGATGAGCGCCTGCTGTCCATGCCCTGTGCTCTTGGTGAAGGACCAAGGGTAGGAGTAGACTATGCTGGTGGGATCCTGATTTTAGGGATCACACAATCCAAGTCAGATAATTCTTAATTACGAAAAAGCCTCTGTGAAGTGCAGAACCAAATCAAATGACTAACAAAATTGATTCAAGTTGAACATTTGAAGGCGGATTTATAAAGCGGCCGTAGCTGAGTGAGCAGAGATGCTTGCTGTTATTTGCTAACATTTAGGAGATGCAAAAATGATGAAAAATTTTTGTTTTGTATCTCCGAAGTATGAAAAAGCACCTGTGAAGTGCAGAACATAAACGTATTCAAACGAAAAAATCGGCAAAAAATTAATATCACCAAATCATTGTTGAAAACATCGACCAAGGCATTGTTAATATTAAGAAAAAATCACACTGACTCCTTTTCAAGTTTAAATTTGGTAATATTAACCAATTTTTGGTTGATTTTTTGCTCAGTGTAAG